GGGGTAAGGTAGCTGGTGATTTTAAGTTGAAGCCAGTGCTCATTTTACCATTTCAAAATCTTAGGACCCTTAAGAATTATGCTAAATATGCTGTGCTTGTACTTTATAAATAGAACAACAAATCCTGAATGACAGCACATGCTTACAATATGGTTTCCTGAATATTTTAAGCTCACTGTTGAGATCTGCTGATTAGAAAAATAGATTCAAAATGTTACTGCTTGTTTGTAACACACCTGATTACCCAAGAACTCTGATGGATAGGTACAACAAGATTTAATCTTTCATGCCTGGCAACACAAAATTCATTATAAAGCCCATGGCTTGAGGAGTAATTTTGACTTTTAAGTCTTATTATTTAAGAAATATATTTTGGAAGGTTATTACTTCCATAGACAGTAATTCCTCTGATAGATCTGAGCAAAGTAAACTGATAACTTTCTGGAAAGGATTCACCATTCAAGATGCCATTAAGAATATTTGTGATTCATGGGAAGTGGTTAAAATATCAAAAACAGAAGTTGGTTTAAACCTTCATGGATAACGTCAATGGGGTCAAGACTCCAGTGGAGGAAGTAATTGCAGATGTGGTGGAAATAGTAAGATAAATAGAATTAAAAGTGGAGCCTGAAGATGTGACTGAATTGTTGCAATCTCATGATACAATTTTAAGGGATGAGGAGTTAGTTACTTCTTATGTATGAGCAAAGAAAGTGATTCCTTAAGATGGAACCTACACCTGCTAAAGATATGAAGATTGTTGAAATGACAACAAGAGATTTAGAATATTACATAAACTTAGTTGTAGCCATCAACAAGAAGGCAAGACTCTCCACCAGCAAAAACAGTATCCCTCACTGAAGGTTCTGATAGTGGTTAGTATTTTTTTTTTTTAGGAATACTGTGTTTTTAATTAAGGTATGTCCATTGTTTTATTAGACATAATGCTAGTGTATACTTAATAAACTACAGTACTGTAAACATAGCTTTTAGGTGCTCTGGGACACCAAAACATTCTTGTGACTCCATTTATTGTGATTTTCGTTTTATTGCTTTGGTCTGGAACCGAATTGCAGTAACTGCAGGGTATGCTTGTACTTGCTGCGGTGCCACCTGCGGTGGCCTGCACGCTCCTTGCTCTCATACTTCAGGTCTTTACACACACCGTTTTCTTTGCTTGTTCTGCTTTACTTACAGGAAAACTCCTACTTACAGTTTAAAATTCACTTCCTCTGAAAAATTTTCTTTAATCTCCTGAAGCTGAGGGACTTTCCCCTATGCTATGAATTACTCTATTTTAATTCCCATATAAATGTATTTGTTTACCCTTCTGATCTATAAGCTCTTTATCTTTGCATTCCTAATATCCAGCAAACTTTCTGATGTACAAACAGTAGGAGCCAAACAATATTTGTTGAATAAATGGTTGAATTAATTAACTGATAACTTAGAGCCCTCCATTTATATATATTTTTGATCTTTAAAATCCCTAAATATATTTTGTCCTCCTGCCAGAGTTAACACTCATATGTTATTTTTCTACCCACTTGCACAGACTCGTAAGGTCTTCTTCTTCTTCTTTTTTTAATCCCATCTGTGTATGTCTTCATCAGCTAGAAGCATTTAATGTCTCCTTAACTTGGAAATCTCATGTGAGCTTTTACTCCTGGAGCATTTAAAAAAGATATTAAATAAGTATCCATCCCTGAGGAGCTGAATTCTTTATACTTCTCCATCCAAAGAAATCCCTAGTTGACCCTACCATTTAATTCCTATTTTCACTTGGTTTCAAATTTTAGGGTAAATAGACATATATCAATCTTTGAGCATGGTATCAGCAGTTAAAACAAAATAAAATAAATGCCACTGCAACCTTTTGTTTAGAAGGCTGGCATTCATTAGTTCCCCTTTTGTTTATGTGCCTATTTATTGCATTAAATTTATCCTTTGGTATGTCCTTTAAGAAAAATGATCTTGCCTTCTTTATTTCCCTTACCTAAAAACTCTGTAACCTGTCTTTCTTTCCCATACTGGCTGCCACAACACATCATTTTTGTTGTGTTCACTAAACCTGCCCTTTATCACAGGCTGTATCAGCTTACTATTTGGTATTAGTGCTCATTAAACATTCTGTAGTTGCCTTGGTAGAGATAACAAACCTTAGGCTAAAAAATACATTTGATTTTTAAATTCCAGAATCCCTACAAAATTAAGGTCACCATAAGTTATCATTAGATATACATAGCCACCATCAGAGTAAAAGAAATAATATTTTAAACTTTATCCTTTTAAACATAATAATATATGTTCATAGACTTCCTTTCAGAAACTATCTAAATGTTGACCCTGCTGTTCCAGATAAAAGAAGTATACGTTATATGTATGTCACTTCAGAGGGAATTATGTAATAAGTTTTGACTATACTGATGCAGAGAATTTTCTTCAGCTTTTCTGAATACTTATATTCAGAAAAATATTTCTATTTTTTTTGTTTTCCTCTGAGTTGTGCATTCTTTCGAAACATTAAATTATTTATCCTCTAAGTTACACTGAGGTAAACGTAGGTAATGCTATAAAGTTACAGAGAATATGAAAATCACTGAGACCATCACAGGACAAAGACAGTACACCAAGTTTGATCAATTAAAGGAATAAAATAATTCTATACTCTTTCTATAAGTCTCTAGTCTTTTCCAAGTGTATTCGTTTCCTGATATGCTGCTTAATCTTATGTTGGCAAAGTATTATCCCCATTTTTACAGATGGAAATACAGAAAGTATCGAAGACTAACCCAGCTCATAGGGCTAATGACAAAGATGAAACTAGAACCCAGACCAAAAATATAAGGGGGAAATCATAGCAAACCAAGAAAACCACAAAGTATCTATTCTTGGGTAATTAGAGTGTTTGAACAGTGGGTTGACAACTACTTCTAACTGCCCTCCCTACATCTTGTAAATAAGTTGATATTCCCCAAAGCCTACATAAAGTAGCACAGCCTTTATTTTCAGAAAATAAGGAACTAAAAACACAATAGCACAGCCATTTATTAACCTCAGGCAACATTATCCTTGGTAGCAGAGTCTTGGGAAAAATATGTGGTTTGAAGCACTTAGGTTTAGGTCTCTGTTCTTTCACCAGCCTCCAAATCTTCTTATACTAAATACCTACTTAGTTAAAATGGAGTTTAAGAGCACCAGCCTTACTGCTTCAGAAGTTGTTGGGATAATCAATAAGATGCTCTATCTAGAAGCACTGTATAAACTATCTCATTGTACAAATACAAGTCCTTGTCCTTGCATAGCAAGTAAGGGAAATCCTGTGCAAAAAGAGTATAGCACAGCTATTGAGATCAGGGTGTGGCAGTCACAATGACTTAAGTTACAACATAAGGAATGCTCTGTCACTTGGTTTAGGCACTTAGATTCTCTAAACCTCAGTTTTCTCATCTTTAAAATGGAGACTAATATTTACCATGTTTTTATAAGAATTACACGAGATAGTATATGTGAAGTGCATAAGCTATCACTAAAGTCCCTTGAATTAGTTTTACTTATAATAAACTTTTTGTTTATATTAATATCTTTAGATTTCCAGAAAAGTTGCAAATATAATAAAGGGAGTTCCTGCCTACTTTTCCCCTGGTTCCCTTCATTGTGAATATCTTTGATTTGCCACAACGAACAAACATTGATGAATTATTATTAACTAAACTCAGGCTTTATATGCACTTCAGCATTTTATCCATGAATAACTGATTTCTTTTCCAGAATCCAATTCAGGGTTCCACATTACATTTGATTTTCATGTCTCCTGAGTCTCCTCTGGCCTGTGAGAGTTTAAAAATCAGCCTCCTTGTTTTTCGTGACCTTAGTGGTCTTGAGGAAAACTGCCTCGGTACCATGTAGGATGTTCCCCCGTCTGCCTTTGTGTATTGCTTTTCTTATGATACGACTGGCACTGTGGGCTTTTAGAGAGAATACCAAAGAGGTGAAGTGCTCCTCTTGCCACAGTGTACCAAAGGGCACACGATATCCCTGCAGCGTCACAATGAGGTCAACCTTCATCACTTGGTTAAGGTGGTGCTTGCCAGAGGTTTTTGCTGTACCCCGAGTCAGTTTTGACTGGCTCTCACTTATATAGGACTTCTCTTCCCTCTTCTCCCGCTGTGTGGAATGCTTTCCATTTATGTTTCCTGCCAGTGTCATCACAGCGAAAACATCTTCTCTGACCATCCAAGCTAAAGCAGCTCTCTCCTCTCAGATCAGTCTCTATGACATTTTACTTTTGTGGGTTTTTTTTTTCATAACATTTATAATTACCTGAAATTGTCTTGTATCTTTGTTTACCTAGTTTACTGTGTGTCTATAGACCCCCTGTCTCTCAAGATCATAAGCTTCAGGAGAATGAGGTCATTGTAGGATTGTTTACAGCTGTACACTTGGTATCTACATAAGGGCTGGAATACGCTAAGTGCCCAATAACTATTTGTTGAAAAAATGTCAAAGAGAGAAAGATATAAAATTAGTTTATTAATAAGTAAGAGTGGAAAATAGTAAAATGGTAGGAGGTTCAATTTAGTATCTTAACTGAATTGGTTTAGTTCTAATGAAAAAGTTAAATGCTACCATCAGCATCTGTGGAAATAGGTAATCAGTATTCTTATAATTCAAATTCTTTTTCAATACACTTAATAACATGAATGCCAGAGTATTTTTCTAACTTGTAAGGATATGACTGACAAATGTAAGACCTACTTGGTATTACACATCTGCACCACTGTGACCTTTATTTGCTAATTGGCTCAGCTCTCCTGTTATAGAACTTTTAACAGAATCTGAAGCAGTGTAAAAATGACTGATGGCCTTGATTTTATCTTATAGATGACTTCTTAGTGTGTATTATCTTTTCATTTATATTGACAGAAAAAATAGAGCTTGTGTAAATCTTTCTTCCATAACTCATTATAAAGCAACTTTCTTTTTATTTTCATCCTCAGGACTTAAAGTCTCCAAATCAGAGGGATGAAATTGCAGGGGCCCGGGCCTCATTGAAGGAGAACTCCCCACTTTTGCACTCAATTTGTTCAGCTTGTTTGGAACATTCTGATGTTGCTTCCCTCAAAGCCAGCAAGGACACAGTTTGTGAAGAAATTCAGAATGCCCTCAATGTAATTTCAAATGCTTCACAAGGCATACAGAATGTGAGGGCCCCAGTGGAATCTCAGGCGGCAACCCTGGGAAATGCCCTTGATGAGCTTGAGGTAAGTCAAGAGAAAGGTGAAATGTGATTTGATATCCCAATATGAAAATAAACAGAAGTGAATCTTCAGATCCCTGTGCTGGAGTTTAGAGCAGGAGTAGATAAAGATCCAGTCATCTGATTAGACTTTATCATTGCATTGTATCTTCCAATGAATTGATTAGCAAGAAGATAGCCTATTGGTAGGCATCTGATTCCTTTACATCTCTGCTAAGGAAGTCAACAAATTTAAATTGGGGGCAGTTAATTAGATTGTAATGATGACTTTATTTTCTATAAATCAACTTATGAAATGTAGAATTTATTCATTTCACAAATTCTTATTATTGTCACAGTTCTTTGTGCTTGGGATATAATAGATCACTACCCCAATGTAGCTTGCGTTCCAACAGGGGAGTATAGGCAAAAACAAAAAAAACAAACACAATGAACATTATAGATAAGTAAACTGTATAGAATGTTACATTGAGAAGGTGAGATATTATCAAAGCTTGAAAAAAGTTAGAGAATCAGCAGACAGAGATCTAGAATGAAGGCTTGGAGGCATGTCCCAGTGTTTAGGTGACAGCACCAAAGCTGGGTGATGGGTGAGGAGCGTGAGGGGGTGAAGGGTAGAAGCTGAGGTCAGAGACCCAGTAGAGTAGGTTAGAAAGGGCTCCACAGGCTTTTAAGGACTTTGGCTTTTACTTCAAGTTAAATGAGATTCGTTGTAAGGTTTCACGCAGAGGAGTAACATGCTGATACTACAGAGACAGTGTGTGGCGCATAGATGAAAGGGGAACAAAGGGAGAAGCTGAAAAAGAACTTCCAGACAGCTGAGTGCTCCAGTCTCCTTCAGGCAGGCGGCCATTGTGGCCACACAGGTGTCCAGGCACTGCCTCATTCCACCTCACATTTTAGTTTGGACCAGGGTGGCCTTAGTAAATATTGAAGCTGAATTTTGTAAGAAGAGCCAACTAGATTTGACAGCATGGATGTGGCATGTGGGAGTAAGGGAGGAGTCCTAGCTGGTGCTGCAGGCTGAGGCCGCCAGAAGCACCCACCGGGGTGCAAGGTGTTGTTAGGAAGTGATATGTGTGAAGGGAAGAGAGGAGGAGCAGGGCTAAGCAAAGGAAGAAATCGACTTGTGAGCCACACTCACAGAGCCTGGACAAATCAGCAGGGAGCTCTGGAGAGAGGGTTGTTCTTGAGTGTACCTTGTCAGGCAGAAAATCCTTCATGCCTCTTTCAGTCACCGGAAGCAGGTCATCCTGCCCAGGGGCTGGGAGTGGGGCGCAGCCCCCTGCAGCTGAAACAGATACTGAAAGAACTGCTAATTGGGGGCCCGTCTGCTGCCCTCACTGCCCATAGCTGGGCCAGTCCTACCAGGGAGGGGAAACGGGCAGCAGATAGACTGGGTAGACTTTGTCTACCGCAGATCACTGCAAGGTTTTATTTTACTTTGTTTTGGCTTGGCAACTGGATGGATGAAGTTTTCGCCAACTATGATGGGGACTATTGTGGGTGAATCAGGTTTTGAGAAGAAACTCAATTTTCAACATGTTGAATTTGAGATTTTTACCAGACATTCAAGTATGATGTCAAAGGTCATCAGCTACCCAAGTCAAACATATAATTGCTTAGTGCGGGGCAACATAGAGTAGTCCTCGAAGATAGGGGTCCTGAAGCCCAAATGTTTGGTTTCTGTCTCAGCTGTGACTCTTACGACACAGGTGACTTTAGGAAAGTTATTTTATTTAACTCTCAGTTTTCTCTCCTATAAAATGGGGATAATAATAGAACCTATATCATGTTGTTAGAATCAGTGAATTAATAATACATTTAAAAATGCTTAGAGCAGTGCCTGGTACTTAATAAGTGCTCAGTAAATCTAGCTCTCATTGTTGTTAATGGAGATAACTACTTGGAGGCAGATTCTTCTATAATGAAGAAACCAATGCTATCAAAATGACTAGGTTATATTAATAACTTAAAAATAAACTAAACACATAGTGTATCATTCCTATGTTGTTCTTAATTTTATTAGTTTCATGGTAAAAATATTAGATACTTTATTTAAATTTAAAATAACCTTTCTTGTGTGCTTTTCTGTTACATGTTTTTAAACAGGTCCCTTCATTTCTAATCCAGCATTATTCAATTTCTAATTATTGGCATCCATGTGAAAATTTATTAAATTCCTAATTATTGGCATCTATGTGAAAATTTTAGGAACTATTTGTCCAAATAAGGTAGAAGATTAGTGGTGACTCTTTAATAATACCTCATCATCTTTTTGTTTGCCCTGTGCAATGAGCACTCAATAAACTTATCCTTTAGATATATGCCTTGCCTTCATGAGAAGATTGAAAACTCCTTGTGGGCAAGACCGAGTCTTACTAATTCTATATCAGTGGTACTATCAGAATGGTAGGTCCCCTACAAATTAAAAAGTAACATTTTTTGATAGCTAAACACTTAACATGAATTTATGACTCAATTATAAGAGTCCCTACGAGATTAGCATTGCTACATTGTTCACGTTGCTACATAGAATTGTGTCAGGGGATGTGGTCCTTGCCTATATGGTCCAGTTTATGCATTCTATATTCCTAGGATTATAGAAGAGGGCAGAAGATTTCCAAATTGTTTCTCCTTCTGGGGCTTCTATTTTCTCTCTTTAATTGAATGTGGCTGGTATAGGCAAGGAATGGCAGTGGTTAGAGAAGAGGAGGAGGAAGAGAGAGAGATGGAGCTTTGATGGGAGTGGGCACAGGAGCGGTGAGAGATGGAGCTGTCCCTTTCTCAACTGTGTAGCCAACTCACTTCTGCAGGACAAGGGCGGGGGAGTCCCAAAGATATTTCTCTGAAATCCTAATACTGTCTTGACAACCTTTAAAATTCAGTTCCAGTCAAAGCTAGGGATGCCCAAGCTAGTGCAAAATGCTTAAATTTTATATCTATTTTTATATCCAAGTTATAAATAGCCGCTGAAGCTGTCTGAACTAGATAAAGCAGAATTTATGAGCATTTAGCCTTTTTAAAATGATTTTGTAAATTAAATGGCTGCACTTTTCTTTATTTATAGGAAGCAGAATTGGTAAAGGATCCAAAATAACCTTTGCTCTAACTTGCTTCTGTAAATATAATACTTTGAAATAAATTGATGTAGTAAATATGCTTTTGGGAGTAAGTCTCATTAAATGTTTATGGTGTGGAAATGTATCAGCGTGCTTACTCAACAGCTATCATGCGGAAGTTTCTTTTACTCTTTCATACTGGTCCACACCTTGTTTTGGATATGAAACCTGAGATTTATTGGTGGAGAGAATAGAAGTTGAATTAGAATACTTTACAGGCTAAATCGATGGATTTATTGGAAAGGCTAATATGAATACTGCGGCATTCCTTCTGCATTTGTATCTGAATGAGAGCTGAAAAGTTTCAAATTGTAGATTAACAGAACTTTGAAAATGTTTTTAAGCAAGAAACTTTGCCGGTTAAAATTGTTTTGAAACTCCAAGTCAATGCAAGATATGCTTTCTCTTGTATGGAGAGAAAAAGCAACTGTTGTGATCTGGTCCACAGAATTATCGAGATCATTTTATGGTAAATGTCACAATAGCAAAGGAGTTTTGTAGGTTTTTTTATTTTCATTTTCAAAGAGCTGTAATATTTATTTTATCTTCCTTTTTATTTATTCATTTATGTATCATCATTGCTATATTTCTTTTTTATTTACTGTTGTATCTCCAACACCTAGAGCAATGCTCTATACACAGTAAGTGCTAAGTAAATATCAATGAGTAAATGAAGGAAGAAAAGAATGAATATAAGAATGCTGCATGTCATTTTGTGATATTGGAGCAAAGAACATTTTCCTCTTACCCCAGTTTTTTTCTCCTTTCTCCAGGTGACTCTACCTAACTTTCAATTAGGGCATGACTTTACGGTGATGTAAACCACCAGAAACATAGCTAAATGACATGCTGCTCAGATTCTTTTCTGTGATAATTCTTTTCTGTGACAAAGAGAAAAAAAAAATTTTTCTCTTAGTAGCTCTCTAGCCTTAGCTTAGGTTCCCTGCAAATTCCAAGATATGCTGCTTTTTGCTAAGAGTAATAGTTTGAGGAATATAGTTCTTATATGTGTATGTTTTCACCTGAAAGAGAAACAGAACCTCTACCAAACAGATTAACATTTAGGAGCTAAAGAAGAATGGGCCTTATTGATATCTAGGAGCACTTTAACATAATTTTTTAAAAAATGATTTGGTTTCTAGAAATATGATAAAATAGAAGAACTAAAAATAATGGATGAAATATGTTTAAATATATGCAATCCTATAGGTGACTTGGGAAAATCTGAGGTCAGCCAGGTATGAAAGGAGCTGAAACCCAGACTAGCAAGCCAGTACCAGCATTGTGCTGGGAGATAGGGGGAATTGCCTTTTCATTATGGCCTGCAGCTTGGATTTAGAAAGACCATGAACAAAGGACAGAAGACAAAGTCAATATACTGCCAACTGGAAAGTCACATGAGATCCTTTCATAGAGCTGAGAATCTTTAAATTTGATCACCTTATTGGATGAATAAGACAAACACCAGCCCCTACAGAGATAATAGGAATACTTGGCTGGCTTAACCTTGGCTCTGGGTGGCTCAGAAAAAAAAAAAAGAAAAAGAAAATATCTTGGAAATTTTCTAACAATAAATCTGCCCTTATCTGGACATTGGGTCAGCATTTATATAATCTATATAGCCTCTAAAACTCCAGCTGAAAATTTAAAGTTGTCTTGTCTTGCTTGGCAATACCTCCAAGTACCTGCCAGAGTAAACTCAGATTTTCTCTGCACTTTAACCCAGTTCACAGAATATTCTCATGCAGTTACAGGGAAAATGAGTTTTAACAGGACACACAAATAAACAAGCCACCACAAGTGAGACTTTGCAGGAAGAATCAATGGCAGAATCAGATCTGCAAACACTATAGATATTGAATATAAATTACAATAGTATTCT